TGCATGAAGGGAGCTTGGCCAGCTCTGTCCAGAGCTGACTTACTGCCAGCGTACACCGAGTCTACCATAAAACCTGAGAATGGCAGCTTTTTTTCCTCCCAAAGTGAGGCAGTACCACATCCCAGACAGAAATTCAGAGGGAGTTTTGCTCCCTTCTGCCTGTTGGCATTCCCCTTAGCAGGTGATGGTGCAGAGCCCCAGCACCCTCATCACAGGGCTCCATTCTGGTGCTAACAGGGCTGGGCAGCAGTTTCCCTCTGCTGGGATCCACCTCCCGTGCTGTAAGCACTCTGCATGAGACGGACAGCAAAACAACAAAGAAGGCATCAGAGACACGAAAGCGGGTGTTGTACAGCTGATGGATCCACATGGGCACTAAGGGGCTCCAAAGGAGCATGACCCAGATAGCTGCTAAACCTCAGTGATCTACTGCTCACACGGGAACTTCACTGGAAAAACAACTAGCTGAACACATGAGAAAGAAAGCAATCTTGGAACTCTAGTGGGAAACAACTAAAGTAAGAGATGGTCTAGATGGGAGATGGTCATCAGGAAGCAACCTTACAATGGGTACTGAAAATTATCAAGAATATGGGGGTTTTGCTGGCCATTTTAAAGAAAGAGAAGAAAGAAAATGTTTACACAGTAAGCCTTCACGCTTCAGAAGAGGAGGGATCCCAGACCTTTTAAAGAACACTGACCTAAGGCCAAAGTCATAGCAAAAATCTTATTTTGGTTCTGATGGTCTAAGGGTGTGAGAGCCAAGGTTCATGGGAAGAGATATTAATCTTTTATTAAACCAACTGACACAACTGAAAATAATAATAATAAAAAAAAAAGAACTCAGAGAGGCTTTGTGTACCTAAAATTCATTCTTTTTTCCCCTTCCAACAATATCATGTGTTCTATTAAAAGATATTACTTCTTCCTGAAAACCTTGTCTGTCCCAAATCCAAACAATGCTCCAGAGTAGTGAGGACAGAGAAACCAGGGAGCATTTTTGTTATTATGTTTATCTATTTCTGTGTTGCTAGAAATACAAAAACACTTTCAGTGCCCTTTGGAAGTTCTTCACGTGTCTTTTTTTTAACAAGCAGGTGTCCTCTGTGTGATGAACTGTGACCACAAGAACACTCAGCAGAGACTTCTGGGAAAGGATGGAACTAAATCCCCAAGAGGTTTCAAGCCCAGCCCAGGATTTGAGGCAGGATGCCAGAAGGGCAGGATAGAGGAAATATGGACAGAGGAACGTCTTAATGATATTTAATGCCTAAATAAATCCCTCCTCTGTTTGACATGTGTCTTCACTGATGATGTCCTACCCATGTTAGGATATTATCTTGGGAGTACTTAAGGAGTCTTGACTACAATTTAAGACTATGTTCTCTTCCAAAGATGAAGAAATGCTGCCCTTTCCCTGGACAGTGACCATGATTTTGTTTTGGGATTGAATTATGTGTTTTGGGAGACAAATGAAAATTATCTGGATTTTACTGCAGTTTGGGTGGGTTCAAAGTCACAGAAGGGCTCTTGGAGCAACCAAACCCTTGTCTGCAGGGTGAAAGAGCAGCTGGGAATTCTAATCTCAGCCCTGAAGATGCCTCCAGCTATGACACTCCTCCCCCAAACACAACAGAAGCCCTCAGCTCCCTGGACAGAACTGGGCAGGCACCGTGTGCCTGACTTGCTGCAGCCTCCATGCCACACTCAGCTTGGCTGAGGCACAGTGTCCCTGACCTGCAGCGTCCCACCACCTGCTGTCACAGTCCTGAGTCATACCTAAAAAAAAGTCGCCTACTCACACAGTTTTTTTAAAGAAAACAACAAGGAAAACGAAATCCGCCCAAATCTTTCCTCTCCAATATGGATATATTCCGTCCTGCCTTCCCACAGAGACCCACACCAAAGACTGCACAGCACGTTACACAACACAGCACAGAAATGCTTCTTCAGCATCCCCGCCTTTACTCTTCACACAGAAGCTGGGCTACTTCTCCCTGTCTCCTCAGTTCCTCCACTTTCCTCCGCTTTCTAATCAGATGCTGATCCACCTCTCCCCACCACTTCCACCTCCACAACCATCTTCTCTCCATCCTGTCTTGTTGAAAGGAGGTTTAAAGGCAGCAGCTGACGGGATCCCTCTGTGATGCAGGAGGAAAAGGACGCATCTGTCTTCAGGCAGAACACGGAGAGCCTTGCAGAGAGGGGAAACGAGCCTCTCTGCTGCCTTTGTTACGCAAATATTTGTTTTCTGTATCCAAATGTGTAACAGAAAATTAAGAAGCTCACCTTTGTTAAAGCACTTTTGCATCCCACAAATGCTGGAGCCAGATGGTGTTCTTTCTTTGTCTTAAAAGATTAAAAAATGGGAAAGAAAGAAAATGCCTAGGAACAAATCCTCAGCCTGGAACATGCTCATGTATCCCATTTAAGATACTGTATATCCACATGCCTTGTTATCCAGGCATGTGGGGCCTGGGCAGGAGCAAACACAGGGACAGGGCAGACTGAAGTCTGCTTGCAGAGAGCTCCAGACCTGTCACTTTCTGTCAGCTTGGAGGTGGAATCTTTCCCTGTGTTTCCAGAAAACAACAAATTACCGTTTCTCCCAGGGCTGCAGCTCGGACACACCAAGGAATGCTTTCTAGAAACCATATGAAGCAGATTTTTACTCCAGGTCCTACCGGTGGCAATGGCAGGCTGTGCACAAGGGGAGAGGTGCTGTGCACAAACACCAGGAAACAGACTTGGGAACTTCCCCAGGAAGGTTGTAGATATGAGCAGGGACAGCACCAAAGTCTTTAAGAGTTCAAATCTTCAGCCACATCTCCACCTTTCAGAGGTGAGACCCAGGAGCAGTTCAGTTCTCCCACTTGAGCTTCTTTGCTCATTTGCTGGGAGGAGTGTGGTTGGATTGGGGCTGGGGGAGGGATGAAGGACTCTTGGCCTCTGGACTTCTGCTCTCTGTTGGCCTGGGTAGGCTTCCCAGCTCTGCCACTCCTGCTTTGGCCTTGGGCAGATCACATAAACCCTCTGCCCCTCATGCCACCAGTATAAGTGTGGGCAATCAGAAACTTGTTTTGCTAGGACTCTTCTTTGGATTTTGAGAGAAGGCGTCCATGAATGAACTTAGTGAGCCAGAGTTTTAGAAGTACTAAAAATAAGTGAAAACAAAGAAGGGAAAATCAGTGAAGAACAAAAGGCTGTGCTGGTCTGAAACTCAGCTCTTGTTCTGGTAAACAGGTGATAACTAGTTACTACTTTAGTCATACATGGCAATTTGTCTATGTAGAGAAAAGTCCACTAAAAAGACTTACAACACTGCATGAGATATCATGGAGCAGTCCTCAGCAAAGCACTTTGCACAGACAGGATGAGGTCTACAGGACACCACCATAGAGAAGACGAAAAATCCAACAACAAAAAACTGTGGAAATCATCTCAGTTCTCACTTTTTGGGGGCCCTCCCAGCCTTCACATGTCAATACAGCAAATTCTCCCACTGCACAGAGAGCTTTCAGTGCTGCAGGAACACAAGCTCAGATGGGATTGTCCCCAAAAGTGTGACACTGGCTGTGGTTGGGGTAGGACTAACAGGGCTGAAGGCAAGAGGGCAGGCGAGAACATGGGCAATCAATCACATGTGCTGCTCCTCATCTTCCCCTGGGCTCTTCTCTTTCCTACTCGCTCTTCCCTGAAGTATCAGCAGTGGTGGGACCACAGCACCTCTCTTTCCTCATCACTGTCCAGTAACTGCACTGAGACCTTTTCCCAGCACGGGCTTTTCTCCTGTGCAGTGAAGATTGTTTCCCTCACTGGTAATTAAACTTAGTGGTAAGCCAATGTTCTGGCCTGGGAGAGGTGATATGTCTCAGCACTAACCTGATCATGTTTTTCCTCCTCCCAAACACAGTAACTCCACTTGGCAGCTGTCTATCACATAACAAAGACCTTCTGAATCAGATCAAGACCACAGGTCAACCCTTTCTTTGGGTAGCTGATAGAAATCATCCTCAAAGCCAAACATCCATGTTGTATGCAGAAATAAACCAGCCTTAGTCCAAGCATCAGCCTGGAAACCACAGCTCCATAGCCTGAAAAGCCCTTCCCTGATGGTGGATGGCCCAGAGACAAATACCTACTCCAGTGTGCTTCAAACACTTTGCACATCACATCTTCTCCTGTAGCTGGGGCAAAGTGAGAAACACTCTATTTCCCCAGGGAGGCTGCCATCCTGGGCAGGCAGGACAGTGCAGACAGGTACAAAGGGAGTGTGCAAGACAAGGGGACAGCATGAGCACAAATCACACAAGAAGAGGCTGGAAAGGCATTCCTGGCTCATTGAGTCTGTCCCCAGAGCCAAGTGCAGGATTAGCCTCTGCACTAAACCCAGGCATTTTTATCTAGTTGCTTCCTGAATTTCTTTAATGACAGGCTTTCAGCAACCTACCCCTGGCAAATTATTCCACTGTCTAAATGATGACCCTGCTGGAAAAAAAAAAGTGTTCTGAGGTCGAACCTAAATTGACTATTATTTCCTCTTCCATATTTTATGCACTTATCAGTCAGTCTTTCAGTTGCCTTTCCTCTAGGTCCCTGTATTAAGTTTCTTTAATCTAACACCAGAGGTCACAGCCTGTAGTCTTTATCATCTCTTTGGATTACCTTTAATTTATCAATGTCTTCAAAAAAAAAAGGGAATAAAAATAGGCAGTAAGTATGGGATGACTTCAGAGACATCCCAAAGCATGTGACTGTGTGCTGGGGTATCACAGAGAGTCTGTGTGTAGGCATCTGCGTGGATGTCTGAACTACAAGCATGGCCAGGACTGAACAGGAGTAAGGACAGTGTTTAGGGATGCCTTATCGACATCTGTGCACACATTTCAATGAGGAAATAAGAAAGCAAGTGAGCCCAAGGGCTCCAAAAACTGATTGACTGTAACATTTCCTAGTCTCCCTTTGCTCTGAGCATCAGACTGCTGCTGGAGCTGCCTTACCCTGTAGTAATCAGTGCTGTAGACATCTCTTGACATCCCAAAGTCTCCAATCTTCACCAGCAGGTTGGCTCCAACCAAGCAGTTCCTGGTGGCCAGGTCTCTGTGGACAAAGTGCTGGGAGGCAAGGTACACCATTCCAGAGGCGATCTGGCTAGCGATGTGGAGCATCTGGGATAGCCCTAGCTCCCCTTTGGCTTGTCGAGGCTGGCCATCCACGAGGATCATAGCGTCTGGGCCATGTGCCCTAGAGGGAGGAAGAAGCAAAAAGCATAGAGTTGCATCTCAGAAGTGACCAAGGAGATGGGAATCCCACATGGTCGCTGTTCCTGCTGGAGTGGGGACTTGGACTGGACTCAGCTCTGCACTGTGAGGATGTACACACAGCTCCAGTGGAAAGGAAGAACGAAAAGCTTAAGAGAACAGGAAGTTGGGGGAACATTTGGTGGGTGAGTGGGTGCCATACATCCTTATGCATCCTTAGTCTACTGCACACAACCTCTTGTGGCCACAGATGGAGACAGAATGCCAGAACAGTGGGACCATTGGCTTGATGTAACATGGACACTCTTCTCTGGTAAGACCTGTGCAGAACTAATGAGCCTCGGGATATTTACAGTTAATTCTTACACCTGTGAAAACTTTCCAGAGGTAGAGATATCACCCACTTTTCTCCCACAGCTGTCATCTTCTTGCTACCTAATCTTTTAATCAATCCCAAACAGCCTCCTTTTCTTTCCTCCATATCACCAACCAACCACCCCCTGACTGATAGTAATACAGCCAGAGATCACAGAAAATGTTTCAGAGGAACACTAGCAGCTTCATCCCTGGAAAATCCGTTTTATATCCTGAACTATCCCAAAGGTAACACAGGTTACCTGTGACAGCACGAGCACAGGAGCAAAGTTTAGCCCTGGCTGTCAGCAGATGCAGAGAACATCCTGTGCAACAAAAGGAAGTATTTTGCTGAACCAGGTGCATTGTAAATGCAGGACTTTAGGTCAGTCTTATTCCTGTTCTGTCCCCTTTTTGTTCCTTTCCTCACTAAGTACCAAGCCTTTCTGTGTCGTACTCCCTCTGTGATGTCTCTTCCCCTGATAGGGCTCACCCTGTGGTAACCTGTGTGAAGATAGAATAACAAAAGCCCTTGTATTTAGGGAAATGCAAGAAATGTTGCTGTGACCTTCCCTCTTGTGACTAAGACACAGTACAGCATTTCCTCTGAGGCTTTTGTACTGTTCTCTTTGAAATTATTCTTGGCATTTTACCCCTGTCATCAGCAGTAACCCCACAGAGAGACAGCAAATTGAAACTGCACATTCACAGCTTTCCCTCCTCCTTGACATGGGACTGAAAAACAAACCACAAGATCCAAACTGTTTCCCACCTTTATCTTTGTTCCTGAATTGTGTTGGGCTTGAGGGTGCACCAAAGAAATGAGCATCCAGATGTCTGGGATTCAAGAGTTGATTTTTCAAATGCCCCCCTTCTCAGCTACCTTCTGCTGCCCTGCCACTGGGAACATGGCTCTGAAGGTCCTCTCCTGGTAGAAGAGGAGAGAAACTGCAGAAATAACTGCTGAGGAGCCAGGAGTGTTTTTTGGGAGCCATGAGTGGGTGGTACTGCTGAATGTGGGATGAGTTGTCTGGGAGCAGCAGTGAGAGTAGCAGAGCTGGGGCTGCCAGAGGCATCTCGGAGCCCTGTGGGTATGGTGGGAGCAGCAGCACACTGGAAGAACTGCTGAAGAAGCTGCAGAAGGGTGCATGCAGAAATGACTGTTTGATGTCTTATTTAAGTAGCCCACAGACGTGTTTACCCCAGGAAACTACTTGGTGGTGACAACAAATGGTGACAGCAGGTGAAGCTGAGCCAGGACTGAGCAGGTTAGATAAAAACAGCAAAGCAGAACAAACAATAGCTTCTAAAACTGTTCTGGACAGTTTGTGCCAATCATGCCTTGCAGTTACACCATATTTAGCTACAGCTGATACCTGTTGTCATCAAATGTAAACATTCCTAGGTGAGAAGTGAAGGATGTATTACTATCTCATTACTGCCACTTTTTTTAAACACAGTAATGGCCCCCAAAGAAGTGTCTGTGTCTGAAGGGAACAGGTGGTGTTTAAAAATTGGTCAGCCAACACCTTTAACTCACTGGCTTTTTGTACAACCTACTATACAGGACACATCTCAGTATGTCCCCTTTACTACGTACGTGTCCCTCCCTCCCTCCCTTTCTCCATCCCATATGGTTAACATCCAAAGGAAAGAAGAATCAACACATTTATGATATAAACAGGAAGGATATTAGTACATTTAGTTGTGTCAAGAAGCCTACAGGGAATATGAGAAGGGTATGTCCATCTTTTCTTGGGGAAAGGGGTTTAATTCAGCTTTAGAGAGAGGCCATAAAATTGGGTGGATTTCCTGTTAAAGAACTATTGGAGTTTTTTTCCATTATGGAGTGGCGGAGGCTTTGGGGAAAAAAATCACCCTTCTAACTTCCTCTTCTAAAATTCCTCTTCTGTCCCAAGAAAGTCTGACTGTGGGGCTGCTTCACCAGAAGGGCTGACACAAAGACACCAGAACTTTGCAACTTTTCTAACAAAACCTATTTCCTGAGTGGCAATGACTTACTACAGACTGCAGAGAGGGTCTGTAATGGCCATGTCCAGTTATCCCTACTTCAAAATTGCTTCTGTCCCAGACAGACAACAAAAGCTATCAAACCAGTGACAAAAGTGAAGGGGGGAAGTAATGGGCACCCCTGGTGAGCGGAGAGGGATGTGGTCACTGCAGACCCCTGAGCAGCCGGTGTGTGTGCTGGGAACACCCAGCCTTGCCACCCACCCACCCTGGCAGACTCCAGCTCCTGTGCACACCATCCCTAGGGATGCTGTGCTCCCTGGAGAGGAATGCCTGTACTTCTCCACGCCAAGATCATGTCTATTGGTATTTTCTATTAGGCTGGACACACCAATTGCAGTCTCCCCTGGTGCAGACAGCAGGGTTTGTTGTTGCACCCCTAGCAACAGTCTTATACGCAGGGGCCCTGGGAGGTGTGTAGAGTCATCCCAGCACATGCCACCACTAACCCAGCAGGTAGGTGTTGATCCTAGTGCTTCCCTTTGCCACACCAGTCAATATTACAGACCAGTAAAACTCTCTGTTCTCTAGGAAGCACACAAAGATCTAAAAACACTTGGGGGAATTTATTTATTGTGCTTTTCTCTAGGAAACTGAGTCTAAAGTGAGCCTCTTCCATTTTACTGCTTTTCCAATTTCTGCAGTTAAACTGGGAAAAGTCCATCTGAGTGTCTGTTACAGACTCCCAGCATCCCTAGCCTCCAGTGCCTGGGAGTCACTGTCTCCTGCTGCAGGCTGGGTGAATCATCACACTATAAAAATTGCTGCTTGCTGAGGGATGCCCGGCAGCCCTGCACCATCCACCCTTTCTTACCCCCTTGCAGTCCCTGTTCCACAGTTTCCCACCAGCAGATACCTGATCTGACAAACAAACCCACAACTCTCCTTCCATATGTTCTTTCCATATGTCCCCCTATGCATTTTGAGTTCCTGTTTGTTGGGTATAAGCTCCCAAAGCCAGCTTCCTTTGGGACGTAAAGGGGTTTCACTGCTTACCACACACCAGCATGCAGAGAAGGGAGCGTGTATCTGCTTTCTCCAAGGCTGCACAGGAAGGAGAAGCTGGCAGCTAAATGCAACTGGAAGATGAGGAGCTGCAATCCCAGGGACCACACATCTGGAAAGTTTCTTTTCCTTTGTAAAAGCCAAAGGTAATACAAGGAGCTTTTTTCTCCAGTCAAACTGGAGATGAATTTCATCAGGCATGAGTGTTTCTCAGATATGTCCCAGTGAAGGGTTGGGACAGGGATGAGGGTGTGCATGGCTCCAGCTTGATATCAGCCTTAGGGACACACTGTTGTGTGAAGCAAATCCATGAGGCTTTGGCAGTGGGCACAAGACATCTTTCTGAGACAGTGAGAGAGCCTGTTTTGGACTATACTGTTTGAGAGGTCAGCTTGAGCAGTGAGAGGTTGTGCCTCAGCTGTAATATCTCCCTCCTCTAAGAGAATTAAGGCTACTGGTTCTGCCAGGAAAAATGATGGGTCAATTTTCCACTCTTATTTGTGAGGCACTTGAAGAACACCATATCTCATGCTCTTTTTCAGACTGCCTTCCTCCAGTCACAAGGCTGAGGCACTGTCCTTAACACTGCATCACTAATCTGTGCGAAAACAATGTTTCAGTCCAACTCATGGTTTCATGCCAGCAGGCAGAGTTCAATCTGTTGCTGCTGAGAGGTTGTTGAGCCCTTGCAGTTACCAAAAGAGAGGGTCCCAGGGTAACCAAGGCTGCTTCCCCTTGAATGTGGATCTGAGGAGCTCTGTAAAGCCAGTGTAGCAGCAGCCTTCACTCGTCCTACCTTGCCAAGGATGCCTTTGATCTATCCAGAGCCTGAGACAGGGACTGAGCTATAAAATCATACTCATTCTACCCACAGCTGAGGAAAATGAGGAGGAAAACCAATGCAGAAATGTTCTCAGCTCATTCACTGCCATGTGAATGCCCCAATGGAGCTGCAGACAGGTTCTCACTACTTGACAGATGAAAGAAAATACCTCTAGGATCCTTCTTCAGATCTCTTCTGGACTAGGTGATTGCTTAGAAGCAAAAACCCCAGGGGAAAACCAGTGTCTCCTGGTCAGAAACTGACTGTAATGGTAGAAAACTACTCACTGAGTGTATCCCAACCCCAGATCTAGACCTGCAGCGCACAAGCTTCTTGTTCCTCCTGCAATCATATTCACACTTAGCAGTCAAAACAGGAAAATATCAAGGGTCCAATTTTCTAAATATTGGGAAATAAAACTACTAATTATTTCAAGAGGTAAGTACCACTCCATTTGCGTGCAGGTTTCAGAGCGGAATTTCTGTTTTATGGGAGAAGAGCACCATAAACATCCTCCCACAGCTGCTCCTTGCCCCTTGCAGCTGGTGGATGTGGGGCACACAAATGATCTGCCTCAGGCTGATGAAATGGTTGAATGATGGGGGGCAATGGGGGCTCCAGCAATTTACATCTCTCTAGAGACAGGGAAGGCAATTATGGCACTTTTTCAGGCCTTTGCCAGGCTTCTTGAGTAGTGTGGTGCTACAGGTTAAGGGACCTCTGTCTGATGAGGCATGGGGACCACGGATCAGGGATGGACTCCAAAGTCACTGCCTAAGGCCCCTCCAACATTTCTCAGGTCTTTTATGAATATAGCAGTGAGAACTAGAGACCAGTAAATGCCCAGGATACCAATCAGATCAAGGACTCCAGCAAGTTTCTGAAAGGAATATTTTGGTTCTTGTGCTGTTGAAGCAGGAGTGGGGTGAACTGAGGCAGTGATGGCAAGTGGCCTTCCTGCTTCAGCAGGACAAGGCTTTGCTGGGTGTACAAGAGTTGGAGCTGCTGACAGCTGTGGCATCGTGTCCTTCTACCCCCAAAGGGCAGAGGATTGCAGACACACCTCCTACAGCTTCAAACTTGCTGAGGTGGGAGAAGAAACCCCTGCTTTCCATAGCTCACGGGGACCACTCTTGAGATTACCTAAGAGGAAATGTTGGGACAGGGCTAATAAAGCACCAGATCTGGTGAGGACCATCATCTACTACAAGCTGTCCTTGGAACAACCATCTCTTCAGCTCACTGAACGATGTCACTGAACCAGAACTGACCCTGGGGTGGCTGTACAGCAATTCCCACGCCCTCCTTCACGCTTACCTCAGGAACTTGTTCAGGTCCCCGTGCTTCATGTACTCAAAGACCATGATGAGCGGGTCTCCGTCCCCACACACGCCGTAGAACTTGACGATGTGCTCGTGCTGCAGGTTGGTGAGCAGCTCTGCCTCCCGCTGGAAATCCTTGCGGGCTGCCAGCGTGGGGTCTTTGAGTGCCTGAAATGAGGGACACAGACACGCACAGGGTGGGCTCGGGTGAGCGAAAAGCAGAACAAAGGGGTCACAGCATCAGAGGGGAGCTGGTAAGGAAGGGAGGGGAGCGGAACCGCTGCCACTGGCCCCGTTGCACTGGGAGGGCTGGTGGCACCATCTAAGCGTTTCACTCATGTAGTTACCAGGCCAGTGGGTTTCCCAGCTCATTTCTTAGGCAGCAGCAAACACACCTCAGAGGGTAATAGCTTCCAATTATTCCCAGCTTGGGCAGAATTTGTACTGGTGACCTAGGGGTGAATGGCTTCATATCTCATTATTATTAAATTCCTGAGCCAGCCAGTCCTTGCTATCTGTCTTTTATTTTGAAATAGCTGACTACACTGCCTTTATTCAGGAGATGGATTTGCCTGGCTGTGCAGTTATTGTGTGGATTTTTCAAACTGCCTCCGAAGAAGGACATTGTCAAGTCTTTTCTCATAATTTTTAAAATCATGGTTTTATTCTCTGCTGTTTATAACAGCTCCCCTGGAAGACTGATGCTGAAATTGGTATCCTTATTGAGAATATCTCATCTTCCACAATTTGAGCATGCCACTTTGCCATTGCAGGGCAGCTTGCAGGCTCCTGGTGGTGAGAACCAGGCTGACATTGCAGAGTTGCCATGAAGATGTTGCTGTGGGTGCAGCTGGCAATCAGGGAGGAGTTCCCAGCATTGGAGTCTGGCTTGTCTGTGCATAATTCTGCAGTTGCAATGGAGAGCTAGTCTGAAAGCAGCTTGTTGTTATCTCAGGGTATCAAGGGAGGGAACTTGATGAAAAAGGTGAAGTCCAGACCATTTGACAAGATGGAATGGCCATGAGAATCAGCATGGTCTCTGCAAACATTCAAGGAAATGAAGAGGCAAATCTGGTTTTGAGTTGCTGTGTCTCAGTTACTTTCTCCTCATCCTCCACATGCCAGGATTGTTTAAGACCAATTCTGACTTTAACTGTGCAGCCCAACAGGAGCTGTAAAAGACTCAAGGAAACTTGTTCCAGTTGTCCTGAGTCAGTCTGATGTGCACCAGTTCCCCCTCACTAGGTAGCTCTCCCCTTACCTACACATACAAATATACCTTCTCCCTTTTCCCCGTGCCTTCAATCTCCCCATACAGACAGGAGAAGAGGCATGAGCAGGTGCAATTTGTGCTTAAAAAGAGATGTTCAGCACCAGAAAGCTGTGTTTGGACGGCAGGACCCAGCACACAGTTACTGCACCTTGGCTGGCCCATGGTACTGCTGGATGTAGTGAGTCCTTCAGAACAGGTGCTTTTCCCCTTGTAGCAGATCTGCTGCAAGGTTTTTCCCCAAGCCTTAGGACACTACCTCTTCTTCTTCTGCCCCCAAACTACTAGACACATGGCGTAAATCTATTTTAATTCTTTGTCCTTTGGCATAGCTTGACTGGAGATATTTAGATTAATGTTAGTTACACGGTGCAGATGGCAAAGCATCCATCCTTTTCTCAGGCACCCAATTCCTTTTAGCCATTTAATATCTTCAGAATGTTGATGCTACCCTATTTTTCTGCAGGGAAATAGTCCCTTCCCCCATCACTCTTTTCTCCCCCTTTTTCCTGTGGTTGCACATAGTATTTCAAGCTGCAGTGAGTTTAGGTTTCCTCTCCTTCACACACGATCATTTCTACAAGGTGTTAGGACTGTAAGTTTGTAAATATGACACATCAAAAAGAAGTTATTAAACCCCCTCACATTACTAAGGTTGAACAGCCAAGCATTTAGAAATGAGGAAAACAGGAGCTGGAAGGGATAGAACAGGGAAAGAAGACCAGAACCAGAGGAAGAGAAGGGATGTCTCAGTAAAATCACTGGAATAACTCTCCCAGGAAGATTTGGGATGGATTCCTCCATAATTTCTGGCAAGTCCCTGAGCATCTGCAAGGTTACAGTTTTTGTCACGAAGGGCCAGTTGTTTCAATATTACCTGGAAAATCCCCTCTTATGTGGCATCATGGCCAGGTCTCCACAAGCACTGTGTTTATTGCTGCAGCAGGGCTCACTCTGAGTCTGGTACCTGCTGTCCATGGGGCTGGAAAGGGAGGTCAGTAACTCCTTCCACCTGAGTGGATCCCTTCAGCTCAGTTTTCCTGCTTCTCCATCTGCACTCCATGCCCTGCAAAATGGTGATGATGCAACCCCAGCAACTAGCTGGGAAGCTGTGAAAACAGGCACTCTCACATCTAGGAAGCTCTCAGCACAGGAGTGATCATCACAATGGAGCAGCTCACAGAGAAATGAAAAATCTGTGTTCGAAGGACATGCCCTGAATACAGCCCCTCCAGCATTTCTAGTACTTGACTTTGTCACCTCAACACTCTTCGCTGGATATAGGTTTTGTGCATTTCTTAGCATGCTTTTAGAAGCAAGCTGAATAAAACAGGAAGCTTTTCCATGTCATCACTTTAAAACTCAGCTTATCTGCGGGGCTGCAACCTCTAGATTCACTGAAAATCTGAGTCCATTTAACCGAGTTAGTAACACAGCCACTTTTTTTGGCCCTGGGAGAGAGTCCCTGAGAGCAGGGCAGAGGCAGGCTCTGGGCTGTGGACTCAGCTGCCCTTGACCAGCATATCCTGCTGCTGCCCTGAGCTGCAGTGACTGGGGAGGTAGTTCTCAGCCTCTATCGGGAGCATGAGATCTTCAGGAAATGCAGCCAAATCTCAACTTAATATGTAAAGCCTTTCTATATATTTTTTTTTATTATTATCTTTTTTATTTTACCTCAGACTTATAATGTGGCCCAAATTAGAGGGATTTTTTTTCCTGCCACTCCTAGAGCTGGCAAGGAGCCAGATTCCAAGGCCTTGCTTCATACAGCTGGAACTGTATGATCTTGCAGGATGAAAGGCATTTTGGAGATGTAAGCTCATAGTAGCAATTAAGAGAAACAAGTTCAGATGCTGTTTCTGCCTACATGCAAATGCAACTCAGAAGAGACTCGAGAGCCAGGCTTGCTAAGGGATGGTTGACACTGATAGGCAGTACCAACCCTGTAATCAAGCAATTAATCATATGGGTGTCTTCGCTGCCTCAGCTTTAACCAGTCTCAGAGGTGAAAGGTGCAATCTTGCACTTCACTGCCAGGGCAAAAGGGGACACACGAGCTTAAAAATAAAAAAGAGCTGCCAATGATTAGAACAACTCTCAAGTAACTGGTGCCTCCAGCATCCTGGAGAGAGTGCTGGAACCTTTCCCCCTGTAGAGCATTGGCTCTAATGCAGAACTTGTTCCAAGGAGTTAGGAGGCACTGGTTAAATCCAAGGGATTAGACAATGTGTGTCTGTCAACTGGTGCCACTTGAGAGGAGAGTGCAGTTCTGCACTGAGTGGTCTCCCCTGCCCAGAGCCCCGCTGATGGGGCACAGCTCACACGGGGACTATCACAAGGATGCAAGCAGCACAGCACAAGCCAAGCTGAACTTGTGTTGGCTCAAAATAAGCGAAACAGGAGCAACCTGTGGCTAGGCAAGCAGGAGCTGAGTGGAGCTGAGCTGAGCTGCTTTGCCCATCTTGCGGCAAATTGATCCCAGAAAATTGGTTCATCGTGCTTAGCTTTTAAGTACTTATTTTTGCTGAGTCCTTTTTTTGTTTCAGCTTCTGCGTGTTACGCAAAAAGATAAAATCCAGAAGGAGCAGGGCCCCAGTGTCTCACAGAGGGAGGTGGATTCACACTGCGCTGCTTCAGCTGCACAGGAGCTCACGGCTTCCAGACCAGCTTCTCCTCCCTGTCTGTCTCCTGGCTGCGCCAACAGGAAGGGAGGTTTTGGCATTGGTGAGAGCAGACAACCTTGAAGCGAAACACTGAAACTCTTGTGTGACTAAGTGGATTTACCACAATCTCCTGCATCAAATAAATCTCTGACCGTGGTCCCCAGCCCTCCCCTGCTTCCCTTTCCCATGCAGGCTCATCCAGTCTCACTTTGCCAGCCAGCCCCTGCTCTATCTCTGCCATTCATCCTTGGGATTTACCTTCACTGCCACCAGCATTTTGTCGTTCGTGGGGCTGAGGTTGTAACACTCGGCCAAGAACACCTTCCCAAAGGCACCTTCTCCCAGCTCCCTCTTCAAAACGATGTCTCTCCTCTTAATATGCTGGACATCTGTTGGAGGGAGGGGAGGAAGAGGGAGAGGGTTGAGGGAGAAATGAATCAGGGTTAATTCAGGGAATGGAAAACAACTAATTCAATTTTCTTGCAAGCTGCAAGGGATCTGAAATTGCTTTGCAAAAATATCTACAGGGATCTTTTTACCCACCCACAGAACACAGCCATCTCTGGGATGGAGCTACTCTCATGCAAAACATCTGTGAGGAAAGTACTTGAGGTGTATCACGTTCTCATGACAAGCTTGTGGCAAACTTGTCCACAGGGAGAGGAACCTTTGGGGCAAGTTCTGCTACAAAGACCTGAATGTCTTTGGAATGATCCTGGAAATAATTCATCTCCTGTGAGGCATAGCAAAGGTCACATACTTCCGATGCCAGGCCGGGTGAGATTAGAAGGTCCTGTTGAGTTTTGCATTTCAAATGGAATTAGTTTAAACTCAAACACAGCAGATTTTTGAGGTTGAACCTTGGCAACTCAAATCATTCTCAAGAGGAGGAGGACCACTGACCCCCATGCATGGTAGGGCATGAGCAGGGGCCGGCTGGTAGCACCGAGTACTGTCCTGCAGCAGGACCCTGACCCTGCAGCCTTCTACTCAACTGCTACCTCAGAAAGAAGGTCATCCCAGGATACAGTCACTGGCACAACAGACAAACTGAATCCATTAGTTTCAATGATCCTTTCCACTGACATTTAGGATGGCGAGGACTGACAGAGAATAGCAACCAAGGTTTCAGGAAGAATCAGAAAGAGCAGTAGCTATTAATTTACCAAAGGTACAGAGGCCGATGAAAATTGGTCTGCTCAGCTAACAGGTCATTCCTAATGGCTGGATCTGCCCAGGGATCAGGCACCTACAAGGGTAGGTAAGTGACTATGGGATATCCACTAATGCTGTGGCATGATTAAATGCCACTGGTTGCTGGGAGAAGTTGTGGGTCTCCATATTCTCTTCTGGGAACAATACTACAGCTACTTGCTACCAAACCTCCAAGCACCTTTCTGACATCACAGCACCCCTGCAGCTCCTCAGCAATACAAAGAGGCTTTTTAATGCCCATAATAAACTGTGGAAGCAGCTACAGATGCACAGCCACCACAACGTTTTCTAGAGGCACAGTACCCAAAACTGCCCTTCTGTGAGGCTTACTGCCTCCCTTGAGAACTCTGCCAGCACAGACCACCCCCAGCTTCAGCCTGGAGGTCATGGCAGGGCAGTGGAGAGCTGTACACTTTTCTCCAGTGCCTGATAAGCAAAACCTGATGCATGACAGGTCTCCCCAAGCAGAGGCATTACGTGAGACAGTGCCCTCTTCTCACTCCTACCCTGCAGCGTTCACAACCCTGAATATGTTTGCTCACAAACTGGACCACTTTTGACTTTTTTCCATCTCTTCCATCCGGCCCAGGTATGCAACCCTTAGCTCAGGTGCATTTCCCTTGGGGCACTGCGGATGCAGGAGGTGGAGGTGACTGACTCCAGGTTTCAGACTGGCTGCAGGGCCACGTCACTTACAGAGATCCCAATCTGCCACCAGCTCCTGCCACCCAGGTGTCCAAACAGGCACCTGTATCGACCCGTGGGGGCATGTGCCCCACAGCAACATAGGTAACACAAGGCATCAAAACTCCAAAGGGTTAGAAGAGAGGCATCCTAATGGATTTTGTACAATTAAGCTTTTTAATTAGGAGCTCAGAGGCAGGTTTAAGGAGCTGCCATCTCTGGTCCTTTGGCTTGTTTGGGAAGATGGATGTCGTGAGATTGCATAAGCAATGGGCCTTGTAATGAAAGATGCCTCTCTGGGGAATTCCCATTGACCTTTTTGTTAATTGTTCCACAGACTGAAAAGTGTTACTTACCAATATTAATAATATTTGTAACATTAAGGCACAGGGTGGTAGGCACATCCAAAATTGTTCTGGCTTTAAACCTGCAGCGACAGCCAGGGAGAACAAATCACATGTGGACTTTGCCTTCTCCACATGGTTTAGCTGAGTGTTTAAGGAGTACCTTGAGAAATCTGAGATATTATGTGTTGAAATGTTAAGTGATGCACTTGGGTGAGGAAAGTCCTAATCTAAGAAAAGCTCAAATGGCACCAATTTACTTCACAGAGCAGAGAGAAAGGATTTTTTCCTCTTTCTCTTGGCAAGCTTTTCTGTAACACTCATCACTACAGTACCTTGGACTTACTGTATTGACAAACCACATATTTGCATTGTTGGTCTCCTGAATAGCAGCAGTCAAGAAAGCTGCAGGAGAATGATCTTATACTAAGAGGAGTCCAAGGACACTTCAAAAAACTCAGAAATGTAGCAATTGCAATCCGATTGCCCCGTCTGGTGTGAGATAAAGTTAAAAAGGAAACTGTCTCAGAATAACAGGCAATAGTATTTGAGAATGTTTACACTTCTTGTGAGCAACAGCATGAGAACGGAAGCAAACTTCTCTTTCTGAAGTCTCCGGGTCTTGCCCAAAACATTCAGCTTCCAATTTTTCCTCCCAACAACATCTTAATAAATGATCAGACATTTCTGAGAGCTGGCATCCAAACTGTGTAATTATGTCTACATTATAAAATAATATCCCATCTGTGTTCAAGACCAGATTTTGCAACAAGTTGTTAAAGTCACCTGAGAAGCTTCAGGGAAAATTTATATGAAGAATTAAAGGTAATATTGCAGCAGGCAGAGTTGAACTGAGAGAGGAGCAATCCTTTTGCAGTGGTGGATGCACATAGCACTGCTGGATTTAAAATAAACTTGGGTGGTTATAAAAATAAAAGGGTCACGAAGTTAAGTAGTTTGACAGCAACTGGACAATCTTAATGCAGAATCAGAAAAGTACTTTTGCTGATCACAATGTCTCTCAACCTCAATTGGCCATAAATTTTGCTTCACAGCATTTTAGACACAAATGGAATAATAAGTGAGTTATAATAAATTGCTTTTTCACATGCTATAGGCCTAAAATAGTGAATTTTACACCAAATTCTCCCTTTCACAGAGAGATCAGCACTATGATTAATTCTAAATTACCATTAAAGATAGGCTTTGGCCATAAAGCAGTGACAAACCACCCCAGCACAGTGCAGATAGCTGTGTTATTGTGCTAACCCTGCACCTCTGTGCTCCTCTGTCCTGGCTGTAACTCATAAGGAAGGCAGAGTAGCCATGAAGGATGCTCTGCTGCAAGGGCACCTCAGAGGTTCATCTGCATAAATCTGTTTACCTCCTCCTGGAGAAAGCAGAGCCCTGTCTGATAAACAGCTAGTGTTTATTTGTTTTAGGCAGGCAGTGGTGTGCTAATCTGTCTCGGCTGTGTTGCAGTCAGCCCTGTAGACAAGGTGTATGCAAACTTCCTTCCCTTAAGTACCACTCATTCGTTTTTTTTTCTCCCCTTGTACCATTAACTTACAAACCAACAAGACAGTTCTAAAGAAGAACCTTTGCAGGAGCCACATCGAGACCTGACAGGAAAATAAGCAGACTTGACAGCACGATGGGAACTCATTCTAAGCCGTGCTATACCTGCAGGAAGGATGTGAGCACACGACACCGAAATAATTCCAGTTTAAAATGAAACATCTTTTAGTCCTTGTTTTGGGATTACTATGTTGCTGCATGACACAGAAGGAAAGTCAGGCAGATTCTCCACCTTCCTTCTTGTCCATCAAGATTTAACACATGGAGAAAGTGTTTCAAACTCTTGTTGTGAGTAGCCCATTAACCACACCAGAAAGTACCCAACCTGCAGCTGGCCTGTGACTTCAGTTCAGTGATGGCAGCAGGAGGGTAAGTTAGAGCATTAACAAGAATAAGTCTTGGACACTGCACCCACCTTTACAAATAGTTTCCAAAGCTATTTGCTTTCCCTTTCGCTGGAAGAGCCGAGGCAGAGGGGTGGCAGCTTCGGATCTGCAAAGGGACCTTACCTAACCACCTCCGAACATTTTTTGCAGGACAGCTGACTTGATCTCTGCTTAAAGTGAATTTAATCAGAAAAGTGGCTGTCTAAACCCAGAAACTTCTTCCTCCCCGTCACTGCTCCCATGTGTCCTTAGTCATGTCTCTTCCTCTCCACAACACAAACACATTCTAGTTTGCTAAACTTGCAAACCCAGCACAGCCATGAGATACAGGGGAAGAAGAAGAGAGAACAAGGTTAATTGTGCTTTTCTCATACATCAATCTACCATTTTCTGATGGGTCACTTCTGCACTGGCCCTTGTAACTGAGCCTGGAAAAGCAAGAACTTTTCCACTTGTATCACTGATTCAATGACTCTTCTCCCATCCTTTATGCTCATATTGCAGAGTCTCTCTAGCTTATGGTAAGGTCAAGGCAAAAAGACCCTGACTCAACCTCCAAATCCAAGGTAGAGCATATGGAGCTGGTAACAGACTGTGTGCAATGAAAACAACTTGTTTTGAATAACCACCAGATTTCAATCACATGAGCGGATGTTGGGATGTCGCATTGGTACATTTCATGAATCTGATTTTCCAATTACTGTCTCATTTCTAAATCAGTCCTGGGCATCAGATAAAGAAGAGATGGGTTCAGTGACACTGTAAATTCTGCATTTCAGATTCCCATCACAGCCAGAATCCTTAAAACCACAGTTTGGTAATACAGTTGAAACCTGGATACACGATTGTGTTTGGTCTCGGATGACGACAGGGGGAGGTAAATGGACAAATCAAACTCCAGGCAGAGTAAACCATGAGCAGTGCCAGTACTTAAGTTACAGTAAAATCCAGAACTACTAATGCTGGATCATTTACACCAAGTCAACTTCAATTTTTAGATTAATTAATTTCAATTAATTCCTCACACCTCCTTCTTTCAAACTCCCAACCAGCAAGAACTCTGTCTCGTCGTGTTTTTAGTGGGTTTCCTGATCTTGGATTATTAATTCACAAACAACATGTGACTTGCTGGTTGAAGAGAAAAAAGTTATGGAAATTTTTCCATTTATTTCTGCCACCCTC